GTGTGGTCATTTACACACATGATTTACAAGATGGCCAAGCGTGCATGGACCGCACCATGATTTTTGTGGATTGTGGTTACTCCCTATTTGTGTAATCGGTATATTGTTGGGAAAGCAACACATTTTCGATGACATTAATGAAAATAGCCTGAATGGAATACTTTACAACTATCGAAAGTTAAACACAGCTCAAGAACAAATGTCTGCTCAGCTTACCTTGTTTTCTCTTCCAGTGTTTTACCATACATGTCGTATTTTCTAGCAATATACCGAATGATAGCGTTGGTTTGTACCAATTTCATGCCATCAATTTCCAGCAATGGGACTTGCATGAATAAAAGATCACCGGCTGAAAATTATACAGTACAGTAATTCGTAAATGAATACTCGCTCGAGTAAAAGTATTTAAAATGCAATGACCATAATGCATGTTACGAGTTTTGTGTTCGCCGCCAACAGCTTTAGTAATCAAACACGATTTTTCGTCAATCCGTGTTGGTTTCTTATAATCTGACGTTATGTATAATTAAAAAGCACCATATCGCCTACCTTTCCGCAAGGTTTCAAATTGTTCTTTATTTTGGAGAAATGTTTCCTGAAACTGTGATTTAAATGAAATCATTACAAAGAAAATTGAAATGTTATGACATGGCATACTCCGCCTATTTAACCATACGCACAAGTCGGACATTTTGTATCAGAACCTTGAACAAATGTATGTAAATATGTGGGACATGATGTATAATGTTCTTAAGTTTGATTCAATTAGTCTGGCATGTCAGAAATATGGCTCTAATAAAAATAAAATTTTGAATCCAATTAAACATAACAAATCAGGGAGATCAAGGTACCACTATGTCCAATGTATGACAAAGTTTGAACGATAGCTCTTCAGGTATGAACAACATTTGAGAATGGCATAGCAGAAACGCCTGATTTTTACGCATTTTTTGAAATTAAAATGATCGACATTCATTCATCTTGAATTGGGTTGTCAAACAAATGCGCGTGCATATGTGTGAAAGTTTAAGCACAATCTGTTTATCCGTCTGTTCAAAAAGTCTAATATTTATAGTAACTCCGGTATTTTCCGTCTCGGTTTGTGTGTGGTTGAGTAGTTTTTGTGCTGCACCCATTGAACAGCCACGGAGATAGATGTGCAATATCCTAGTTATTCAGGTTCTTCACATACAATTCTAATTCTAATCCAGGCGTGAATATTATGCCAGTTGTTATCTGATTATTGCTTGTGCAAGTCGGGTGACATCGATTGAGTAATGCCTTATTGTGCAAAATATCCTTAGGCTACACGTTGTCAATAGTAGTATGAACTATTCACTGAGTCATTCATATGTGACGGAATTCGTTTATTCTTTTACATGTACCCTTTGTTGACATATGGTGGTTGACATATTGAGGTCAAAGTACAGAGGTGAGTATCCCACCGTATGTCTAGACTACATTTAAAATGAGTAGCATGATGCTACGCATTGAATACTAGCATGAGAAGATTGTAACTTCCATCATATGAACATTCAAACATACCTTACGATAGCGTGAAAAATT